AGCTCCAGGGCCCCCTCGCGCTCCTGCTGGTCCACGGCCAGCTCAGCCTCGCCGGCCGAGGAGGGCGTGGGCTGGGACAGCACTCGGAGGCAGTTCTTCATCTGCTCCACCTCCTCCCGCTGGCCCCGGCAGGCGGCCGACATGGCCTCCTGCAGCCACTGGCGCCTCTGGGGACAAGGTGGGTGAATTCATCAATAAGCTCATTCGGGAATCACGGTCATTGACAATGACTGTCAACATCGGAGCGCCGACAGTCCCTTCAATCAACACGATCTACGGAGCTTCATTTCTACTGACAGACGTGTCTAGACACGAGATCTACAGAGAGACGGGCTGTGGGGTGGGGGGCAGAGGAGGCAGGGCTCCCCGGTGTCTGCCTGACTCCCTAGAAGGTGATGGCAGGGCAGCAGGTGTAGGACAGAAGATTAGAACTTGGTTTTTTGTTTGTTTGTTTACATATTTCTTTATTGATTCCAGAGAGCAGAAGGGAGAAGGAGAGAGATAGAGAAGCATCAATGATGCGAGAGAATCATGGATCAGCTGCCTCCTGACGCCCCACATTGGGGATCGAGCCTGCAAGCTGGACATGTGCCCTGACTGGGAATAGAACCGTGACCTCCTGGTTCATAGGTCAACACACATTGAGCCAGACCATCTGAGCTGTTTGTTTCTTGAGAGAGGGAGAGGGAGAGAAACAATGGCTTCTTGTTCTATCCACCATGTACTCATTGGTTGATTCTTGTATGCACCCTGACCCGGGATCGAACCCGCAACCCTGGTGCATCAGGACGATGCTCTAACCCACTTAGCACCTGCCCAGGGCCTAGAGCCCGTTGTTAACGTGTTATGTTTGCGGGATCTATTACATGCCGAGGTGAAGTGCTGAGTAGGCTGCCTGGAGTTCAGAGGGAAGGCCCAGGCGACACCTGGTTTCGCAGCCCCGGCCCTATTGACACCTTGAACGGGACAGTCCGTGGTGGGGGCCATCTGCACGCTGCCGGAGGTTGAGCAGCACCCCTGACCGCCACACCGGTCCCCCCGCTCCCCCCCACGCCGCAACAACCGAGAACGTCTCCATACATTGCCAGTGTCCCCTGGTGAATACAACCACCACCAGGGGCCTGCATGAGGCAGCCAATCAATGTTTCTAGCTCTTTCTCCTTTCCCTCCCTCTCTCCTAAAACAACAACAACAAAAAAACACAGTAAAAATATATTTTAAAACAAATAATGGGGCCCCGCTGGCGTGGCTCAGAGCCTCCACCGATGAGCCAGGAGGTCACGGTTCGATTCCCAGTCAGGGCACAGGCCCGGGTTTTGAGCTCGATTCCCTGTGTGGGGTGGGTAGGAGGCAGCCGATCAATAACTCTTCTTGATGTTTCTCTCTCTCTCTCTCCCCCTCTCCCTTCCTCTCTGAAATCAATAAAAAAATATATTTTAAGAAAATAAAAGATAATGAGAAAGAGGAAAGCCCTGGTGCCTCCACCATGCAGAGGCTGGAGAACATGGAAGAGCCGAGAGGAAGTGGGGGGAAGGGCCAGTGGGGAGGGGGAGGGCCAGGGCACTGTGTTGTCCGGAAGCCAAGGGAAGGAAGAGATCGAGAAGGGGGTTAGTAACTGATGCTGCTGTTCCATCCGATCCGGTGAGAGCCGAGAACGGGACACTGGGGTTTTTTCTTTCTATTTCTCGGACGCACAGCGTTTGTGTTACCTGCTCGGACCCGTCTGAGGGCTCTGTAGACACAGCACTAGGTAAATGCGGGGAGGAGGCTAATCTTTCTGGGCGTTTCCCAGCTCATTATCCTAAGGTTTTAGACATCGAGGATGTAGCTGCATGAGCAGGAGTTTTTGTAATGGGGGGTATTGGGGGCTCGGCTCCAGATCACAGCAATAAAGCGCGTATCACAAGAAAGCCAGTCCTGATCTTTTTGCTGGTGGAGGATCTTGCCTTCAGTTTGTAAAAAGGACAACATCCGTGAGGCACCACAGTAAAAGGAGGTATGCCTGAACGGCAACCACCATCACTGCCGAAATGTCATTATCGCCAATACTGCTATTACTCTCCAAAACAACCCACTTCACAGATGTGAAAACTGAGGCACAGAAAGGCTCAGAAAGGGAGGAAGAGGGAGATAGAAACATCCAGGATGAGAGAGAATCATGGGTCGGTTGCCTCCCGCAAGTCCCCCACTGGGGAGCGAGCCCACAACCCGGGCATGCCCTTGACCACAATCGAACCTGGGACCTTTCAGTTCGCAGGCCTATGCTCTATCCACTGAGACAAACCGGCTAGGGCTAAAAAAATATTTTTTATTATTATTATTATTGTTATCTATTTTAGACAGAGAAAGGAGATAGAAGCATTAATGAGAGAGAAATGCTAATGAGCTGCCTTTCCTACCCGGGGATCAAGCCCACGACAGGGGCGTGTGCACTGACCAGGAACAGGAAACAGGTGACCTCTGGGTGCCTGGGACCACCCTCAACCAGCTGACCACACCCGCTGGGAGCCCCAGCTGCCTGCAGGAGCGCTATGCAACTGCAACCTCAGAACCGCCCTGAGTGCCGTTACTCTTATCATCCTCAACTTCCAAATGGGGACCTTGGGGCCCGGAGAGACTGAGTGATACCCCAAGGTCACACAGCTGGATACGGCGGAATCCAGCCTCGTCTGCTTTTCTTTCTCCCACGAGGCTATTCTACCTCCCAGCATGGGAACCCCGGGGTCTGCCCCCGCCCCCCGACAGTTCTGAGATCTGACCTTCATCCCGGCTACAAGGACCCCATCTAGCAAAATATAGCCGGCTGCGCCTTCACACCCAGGCTCCCGCACCCCCCCCCACACACACACACCCCGGAAAACAAAGAGTAGAAAACTAGCTAACCAAGCTGGTCAGGGCCGTGTCCCAGCAAGATGCATGTTATTAAGACACAGAGCTGGGGGCCCTTAAAGGGGAG